TGGAAAGTCAAGGTATATTGTTTTCGGCAAAACAAGGCCTGGCCACAGTGTAGAAGCCGTGCTCTGCATGCCACCAAAGTGAGCTTGCTGGTGTTTGCTGGCCTGTATATAATACATGTTACATATACTAATCACCCATGAAATACAAGTGAATGCACGCAAACGATCGACATCCTTCATGAAGGCTGCTCTGCACTTCATGATGCTCCCTCTGTCAAGACTGGCCTAGAACCGATGAAACAACCACCCAAGTCACCACCGGTGACAAGGCGAGCGAGATGAAAGATAGAGAATTGAGCGAGAGTGCCGACGATGTGCAGAGCGCAGTGCAGCTAGTATTCCAGGTACAGTACGATACAGACGAAATTGACAGTCTAAGGAACTATGGACGGGGGTGCGAGGGTAGATACACTGTACGGGAAACACCGGAAGGGATCAGGTTATCGTAGATAATCAGCAACGGGACGGAGGGGCTTCGGGGAGTGGTACAACGAGGTCTAGGTGCTTGGGGAAACATGTGATAAACAGTAACGGATCAGATCAGATAAAGGGAAGAGAGACCAACGACTTCCGAGGCGATGTGCGAACGCTAAGTCAATACCGGGCGACCGAGGATGTCTCTCCTCAGTCCGAGGAGGCTGGGATCTCGGTCCGAGAGCTCGGTCCTCGGTCCGAGATCTCGGTCTACACCGCTTAGTCATCGGACCGAGACATCGGTCCAAAACCTCGAAAACGTCGGTGCTCGGTAGCACCAAAAAGGCATCGTCGGTGTTCTCCTCGGTCCGAGGAGCTCCGAGGAGCCAGGGGATTCAACCGAGACATCGGTCCTCGGTCTAGGGTCCTCGGTCCGAGGTGCTTAGTCAGCAGACCGAGACGTCAGTCCGAAATCTCGGAAACGTCGGTGAAGAGAATGGGAAACGTCAGTGTCGGCATTGGTGCTCGGTCACGGGTTTGGTGCTTGGTCTCGGTGCTTGGTGCTCGGTGGTCGTCGGAAGGAGTCGAGGAAAGCGATGAGATAAGGAGCGATCCTTGACACCCTCTGTCATGAAGATAGAGCTCTGCAGCATGTTTGTAGCATTCTTCAAGGCCTTCTTTGATGTGTACCGGGATTGAGCGTGACACTGATATGGCGGCGGGCAGCCCGCAGCTCTATGAGTAAAGTGGAGTTGGAGTCGTGTAGGCAACATTTCATGAGCTTGTTTAGTAAAGGGTGCACACAATCGGCGGCGCTGTCTAGGACATCCTGGAACAGGTTCTCGATAATGAGTGGTATGGATGATTTGAGCAACTCGAAGAAAGCTCTTTGGAAGAACCCAGTCGAGAGCATGACTCAGGCATACCTCTGGCCAGGTACGCGTTCGAGCTCTACAAGTCGTGCAGAGCACTCTAGAAGCGAGAGAACCTGGGTTCTTGGTTTGCTTGTGTATGCCTGCATTCACTGTGCTCTTCATGCCACCAAAGTGAGTTCGCTGGTGTTTGCTAGTGTTCGCCAGTGTTCACTGAGCTCTACAAGTCGTGCAGAGAACTATAGAGGCAGGCAAACCTGGGTTCTGAGCTACTAGTCAATCAAAATATCGGTTATTGTCTGCATAAATGTCTCATATAGCCGGTTCAGAGCACCACATACGCTGTGTATATATTATTACGGTTGTCTCTTGATCAGAACGTCAAGCTATGTTCTCCTAATGCACAGAGCGTGACCAGAGACTCTAAGACGTGCTATTCTCAATTAGGGAATGCTACACCACGCTCTGGTGTGGCTGCAGGTGCACGACGCGTCGTTTTGTTGACACTTGTTTACCTGCTCCTCCTGCCTGACTCTCCGATTTGCACGGCCTATATCTCGAAAACGGGACCGCCAATTTCTTAGAAAATTGGCATAGGAGACGTCCATATGCATATCTACCTCCATGCCAAATTTCAGCCCGATCTGACATGCGCAAGTTTAAGAGATGCATAGCTAAATACCTGTATAAGCCAAATGTTTCTTCTCAGGCTCGAACAGGATGTCGGAGTCGAGCCCCGACAATGCTGCAACAGCAGCTGTTATGTAGGGCAGGTTCAAGGGGGTGAATCCAAGACAGATCTTGCCTTCCTTCAGCTCCTTTGTGTCGGTAGGTATCGGGACATCAAAGCTTGCACTATTTTTGAACATCCAGAGCTCAATGAGCACCCCCTCCTCTGGACATCCACAATCAAGGAAACCTTTTCCGGTGCCTTGTAGGGTATTGCCCTTTATTCGCGCAGTATGGCTGCGCCCCGATACACTGCACGAGATGCATTTGAGTAAATTGTCCTAAATACAGCATTGTGAGATAACAGATAACATTAACCAAGAAAGGAGGCATACACAATTACGCAGTACTTCTCGAGCTATGTCACACCTGCCCTCTATCGTTCCTGGAAGGGTGCTATTATTTTCTCAGGCTTTTTTGGCGAGCCTTGTCGTCAAAGATACACACCTATTCAATCCATAGTGAAAGAATCTGAACTTGCCAGCTATTTGAGTGTCAACGGCATTGAGCTCGCAAGAGAAGCCGCCTGAAAGAGGCCATGTCAGCTACATTCAGGGCATCGCAGAGGTAGCATTCTCACCTTCCTCAGAAATGCCGTCGGGTGCCTCACCACCGACTGCATTGTCACCCTCTCCCATCAAGTGGTCTTTGATGCCATGTAGTTCAGTGCACCCTTCGGGTGCCCCATTGTCTTGAGCGACACTTGGAGATACTATGTGTCACAGCAGTCAGTGCATTTTTGGGCAGTGCGGTGGACGTTCTCATGAAGGTGGTCCTCCAAACTGTCAACATGAGCCTCAGCATCGATTTCGTGCTCAATATCAATGTTACTCTCTTCTGCACCCCACTCCATGGACCCGTGGCTGGGACCCTCGTGTAATGTTACTGTGAAGGAAAGATGGTCAAAAAGCCGTACATCAGGCTGATGCTGATCACTCACTTGGGTCATACATGTCAAGATTGTTCTGCTCGACGCTCCCGAATCGTCGATCATCACTCCATTGGCCGTCAAGGTCATCTATAGGCATAGGCTCAGCCTGCCCTGCTGGCACTGCTGCTGTGTTAGGGCAAGAGCTTGAAAACTGCAATGAAGATGCCCACTGGGACCCATCCTCACTAAGCAATGTTCTGTCTCCACAATCTCACGTATGAGATGCTGAACGTAGGCTAGGGGCCAGTCCATTATCGTTTGGAAAGTCAACGGAAAGGCAAAATCATACCTGAATAAGAAGTGTGACCAGCATTCCTTGCTGTGCAATGCCGGAGAGGAACTTGCAGCTTGATCACATTTGCATATTCGCGGTTCAATCGGGATAAGTCTTGTGCAAGTGCAGCGGAACCAGACATATCTTTGTGCAGGGGCGGTAGTACTGTTACAACCCTGGCGACTATATACTTCCAGCTTTGCACTTTCTTCTGAGGCTGACAAAGCATCGGGCCTCGACAGATAGCAGACAGGCTTCTGGATATTTGGGACGGTACCATTGCCTGCTGAGTGATGTGAATGGTGTTGAGCTGATCATGGGTATGGAAGGCGTTACATTTTGCAGAGGCATCGTGATAGCGAAAACAGTAAGATCTCCGAAGGATGTTACACCCAAAGAGGCATTGTGACAGCGAGATCTGGTGCGTGTGGAGGGCAGGACAGCACAGGTGGCTTAAATTTCAGGATGCAAGCACCTATCTTTCGCACCAAAAGCCCTTAAATTCTGGGCACTAAGTAACAGTAATGCTAACTTGGTTATTGGGCTAGCTTGTTGTGTGTCAGCATGCTCTGCAGTAGTTGACCTTAGTTGTTGCTCTGTGCCTTGTCGAGGATCTCTTCCCTTCAGCTTGATTCTAGTCATGTTGAGTTAGTCTCTGCAACATGGCGCAGGTATCACACAACACATTAGCCTTGATAAAACTTCAAGTTGAATCACAAATAAGTTACAGCATGAAGCAAAAAAACAATGGGCTCAGTCGGGAATTGAACCCGAGACCCCTTGCAATTAATGAAGAGCCATTTCGTACTCTTTACCCAAAGCAAGTATCATGCTACTAGACCACTGAGCCATACAGATTATGCTACAACCGAATCCATTACTGAGATACAATTTGCTGCTAGTGACCAATGCCAAGCTGTCGAGAGTGCGCGATGATCAGTAGAGAGTGCGGCACGCGATATCAATGGCTGTAGAATGCATTGCAGGCCCGTTCGCAGGCTGTACAGAATTAGAAAAGATGAATGTATTAAATCCAAAATACCGATTACTCCGTCATCTCAGGAGATTCCTCTACAAATGCTTCGGCGACCTGCTCCTGCCACATACTATAGTAAAGACCTCCAGTCTTGATGAGCTCATCATGCGTGCCCTGCTCGACTACCTGGCCTTCGCGGAATACAAGGATAAGATCTACAGCAATGGATGTTAGTGAATATGAAGGACAGGATGCAAAAGTACACACCAGCTTCCACAACCGTCCGCAGACGGTGCGCAACGAAGATGCTCGTGCGCGTCTTCTCAAGCAACATACTGTTGATGTTCTTCATGAGCTCAGCCTCAGTGTGGGAGTCCAACGCCGATGTCTAGCAATCCCATGTTCAGCACTAGCGCGGAACGGAATGCAAACATTTCTTACCGCCTCATCGAAGAACATAATCTCCGGATCCTTCAGGAGCACCCGCGCCACTGCTAGCCGCTGCTTCTCGCCGCCTGAGATCATCAGTCCACGCTCGCCCACCGTGGTGTGGTACCCATCCGGCAGGCGCTGCACCGTCTCATGGACATGCGCACGCTTTGCCGCCTCCATCACCTCCTCGTCAGTCGCATCCAGCCGCCCATATCGTATGTTGTGCATGATGTCCGCGTGGAAGAGCGGCGTGTCCTGCGGGACGACACCAATAGCGCGTCGGAGTGAGTCAACTTGCACTTGGTGGATGTCCTGGCCGTCAACGAAGATGCGCCCAGATGTCGGATTATAGAAGCGGTAGAGCAGGCGGAACACGGTCGATTTGCCGCAGCCCGAGGGCCCCACAATCGCCACCTTCTTACCCGCAGGCACAGTGAAGGACAGGTCGCGGAAGATCGGATGGCTGGGGTGATATCCGAAGGAGACGTGGTCGAAAGTGATGTTGCCTCCTCTCAACTGGAGAGGCTTAGCATCTGGAGGATCCTACCCGCAGAAAAACATGAATTGATAAACAAAGTCAGAGTCAGCAAGGGCGTACAGCGGGAGGCGTGTTCTGTGTTTGAAGGTTGAAGAGCACCTCCATGTCGAGTAAGCTCTGCCTTATTTCGCGATAGATCGTACCGAGGAAATTGAGCGGCAGCGAAAGCTGGAAAATGAGCTGGTTAACCATGACGAGATCGCCGACGGTCATAGTTCCTGAGCCACGAGTTAATGACGAGGTTGTACGATTGAGCTTAGAGAACATACCATTGATGACACCTTGAGCGGAGAGGAACATGATGCCCGTCAATGCACTCGAAAAGATGATGTTCTGCCCCGAGTTGAGGAAGGCGAGCGAAGTCGCGATCTTGATAGCGGCCTTCTCATACGCCCGAAGATGTTTGTCGTACTGTGCGATCTCGTACTTCTCGTTGTTGAAGTGCTGCTCGGAAACGATAGTTCAGATGTCATATAGGCGCATGACGCAGAGCGTGTCGCACCTTTACCGCCTCAACGTTGATCAGCGAATCAACAGCTACCGTGGCCGCTCTATTATCCGCCGCGTTCGCTTCTCTTCGGAACTGTGTCCTACGGTTCCCGAGAGGTTTAGCTATACCCCGAAGAAGGAAAGAGATCCGCGTACCTCCATGAAGTCGTGCGTACCGTGAACCATGAATATGCAGCCATCGTCATGGCAGTAATTACAGCGTACTCCCAACCAAATTTATATGTCTCCAATCTGACATTGAAGTTATGCACAGGCAAACGAAAGAAAGGAAGGGCGTACCAAAATGCCGCAAACGAGCGTGATTTCGAGCGCAGTAGGGACGACACGGAAAAGAATGGCCTGCAGGATGAAAGTGATGCCCTTGGTGCCGCGGTCGATCGCGCGCGTGAGGCCGCCCGTCTGACGAGACAGGTGAAAGCGCAGATCCAGATTCAGCAGATGCTCGAACGTGTCGCGTGCGACCGTCCGAATCGCGCGTTGGCCGACATTGGCGAAGACCGCGTTGAGCAGCTCGCCGAAGAGCGTAGCGCCTACGCGTGCCAGACCATCTGCCGTCCGCGGCGTTAGTGATTCCAACTCATGCACAGGGAATTACAGAAGAGAAACTTACAGCCCAAGATCACCGACCCGCAGACGACCCATACCGTCGAGTCCGCAGTGATAGGGACATCCAAATAGTCTATGATATCTCTGAAGAAGAACGGGACCTGCACGTTCAGCACCTGTCACGATCCCTTTCGCTCGTCAGCCCGAATCTCAGAATACAAACGAGAAGACGAGGCGCACTTTACCGGCTACGAGTAAACCCGCACCCAGCACGACCCGTCCGCGCATTCCCCACTCGCCTTTCGGCCATATGTGTACGGCGAGCCGGCGGATGATCGTACGGTCGCGCCGCCGCTGCTCTCTGGTGTCGACGGGGTCGGTCAGGGCGATAAATTTCGGCTCCTCCTTGTCATCTGTTGGAGGCTTGGGCGGGTACTGAGGCGCAGCGAGGTGTTTGAAGGGGCGGGCGGTCGTGAATGGGGGTATATATGTACACACGGGCGGAGCGGAAAAGGCGTCGGCGATGATACGGCGTCGACATGGCGGGAGGCGGGAGCTAGAGGAGACGCGGGAGAGCGCGAGCGACGCGTGCCGGAGTGCGCTCATGGTCGTCGTCGTCGATGGCGATGACTAGGAACGCATGGATGATGTTGAAGGACAAGTGCGATGAAGGCCGAAATTTCACGAGACTGCGCGGGCGCTCGCGCTAATGTCGTCATTTTCTACATCTTATCCGATAAGATATCGGCCGACCAACAAACACGCGCCATTGCAATTGCTTCCTCAACGAGTCAGGCATCTTAGCGTGCTCAGGTACTCGGCAATCACAAGCCTGTATTCCTTCACCGAACCAAGCACAAAGTTCCCAACACCGATAGCTATTGTTGTAATTACCCTGAGAATCCGTCATGAGTCCCTAATCCGAAAGCTCGAGCCTCAGCGCATCGTACTGCACGTACTACATCAATACCACCAGTCAGCAATGCCACATGAAACACGATCAAGCGCACACTTACAATCCCGGCGGCCCCAAACGGAAGCTCGAGCTATACGAGCATCAACATCAAGCCCCACGGAACCAAACTTCAGCAGACGTACCACGAACTTGTTCGCCCCGCGCGTCAACCACGTCCCGGGGAACGTAAACTTCTCGCTCAGCAGGTAACACGAGATGCCTGCCGTGCGCAATTGTACGTGTCAGCCCTGCCCTGCCGCGCATAACCAAGGAATCTCACGCACCAGATCGCACTGCGCAGCTGCCGCTCTGGTAGTAATAGATTGGGAACTCGAGTGCCGTCGGCTCATCGTTGACATACGTCGATATCTAGCCCCACTTCAGTTGAGCGCACAAAGGCGAAAGAAGGTCTCCCAGATGAACGCACGTTGAAGTTGGGCCATGCGCCCTGCTGCGAGTCTGTATTACCAGATGTCGTCGTTGCCCCTGCAAGCTGCACCGTGAACGTCGCGACAGCGTGCTGCGCTGGCGCCTGGTTGAGGTCGAAATTGATCTGCCACCGGTTCACGTCTGTACCGCGTTATCTGCGTCAGACAAGCATGCATGGAAGCGAGATGCAGTACGCACCAGTAACGGTGTCGTTGCGCGTGTATGAAGGCCCGAACTGCGACCAATGCACGTAGTTCCAATCGGTCGCCCACTCGCTCTTGCCCACCGTGAAGTTCACACCGTTAGGGAACTGCGTCGGAAAGTCCCATGCGCCCCAGTATATCCGGTACTCTGTTCAAATGCAATAAGAATGATGTCTGTCTATACGGAACGGTCTACGCACTATGCGGTTGATTTGTGCGAGTCAGATCCCGCTCGAAGCCATTCCGGAACTCGCCTGGATGCATTTATTTAATCAGTCTGGCTGTGAAGGGGTGTGAGGACCACTGACCTGACGTCTTATCTGGCACACCGATACGCCACAGCTCGCGCCCTAAAAAAACATATAGCACTTTGCTTTCTGTAAGTAAGGAGATACGCACCAGCAGACTCGGCCGTCCACTTGAGGTTATTCAAAGTGGTCGTCTCGCGCGCCTTCACCACGACATCATCCTTTGTAAAGTCTCCAAATATACCTGCAACATCCTCAGCACCCCGCTCTAGATGTACGAAACGAGAAGCTCACCGTCGGCATACACAGTCAACCGATACGTCCCCGCCTTCACGCGCCCGATCTCAACGACCCCATCTTTAACATCCTCCACCCAATATTGATACGCCTTCGTATCAAACGCGCTGTCCTTTTCGTCACAAGACACAGCGAATCAACACATGACCGCAGCTTTACGCACAAGACAACCTTCGCACCTGGAAATGCAGCCCATTCGCACTCAACACCGCCGTCACCTTGCCCGCCCCTCGCGGCACCGCAACGCGCGCCTTAAACGTCCCGCGCTGCGCACTTGGGACATACCCAACGACCTATACACGAATCAGCTCGCGCGCGACGTGCTGAAACTGACGCAGCCGACGCACATGCGGCGCGATCTCGTCGTAGAACTGCGCGTCCCAGGCCGGGTCGGCGAGCGCCTCGGCGTCGCTGAGCAGCTGCCGGATCCTGCGTCACACCCGAGTCCATCAGCCGTTTCGAGAACGTGAATCGAGTCTATACGCACGAGGCGCCCTTTGCGCTGTTGAAGTACACGAACTTCACGCGCGCGAATCAGCAGGCCAAAGGCTGTATGTAGTACGGCGGGCGGACACACCTGCGGACCGAAGGTCCGGTCGAACCCGGTCGTGATGTTGGGAGACCTGCGCGTGCGAGCGGGGGATCAGGCGGGAGCAATTGGGAGCCGGGAGACTCGAGACTCACGATGCGCCGCCGTGGCTGCAAGGCGGCGTCAG